TTGTGTCAAGAATCTAAAAGAAATAGTAGATATCAATAAAAAATTTTTTTAATAATATAAGAAGTACAAATAGGAGGTTTGAATCCACGGTTTCGAGAATATCCAAGAAACTTTATTTTTCTACCCAAAAAAACTATAAGGTGTACGTACGTTATAGATATTTTGGGTCTAAAAAAAAAGTTTCTTGGATATTCTCGAAATCTTGTATTCTGTTAGAAGGTGCCGAGACATGAATGCATGTCTATGCCTTCCAGAGCTGAGATATGGAGATCCCACAAAGCATTTATTCCATTGGGGCAAATAGAGACTCGCATACTCGTGAAATTTTGGGATGAAATTTGGCCCTTTTGCAGCTTTTTGTTAGGTAATCATTTACTAATCACGTGTAATGGAAATTGCAAAAAACATACATAAAATGTTAGTATATCACTTGTTAATCATTTATGCATGTTTTGTAAATGATTAGTTCATCATTAACTAACCACTTATTAATGGCCTATAACTGAACATTATTATTAAGTGTTACCCAAGTCTCTATACATTTTTACTATATTTTATCATTTAATCACTTCACATTTAATCTCCAGATTAATGTAGAAAAACATAAAATAACTAAATATATTTATTTTATATAGAGACAATATATTTTAACTACTTGTTTAATGACATATTTTTTGAAGGCCAGTATCACTGATACTAATAAGGCTACTGATGTCTTGATAAATATGGGAAATAAAAAGAAATTGAATAAAGCGTACAACACTCTGCACTGCATAATGTATAAATTAGATATAAATGAATCCTTTTTAAAGCTACAAAAGTTCTTTAGTTAGGAGCAGTGAGTAATGTTCTCTGTTCCAACGTTACATTCTAATAATACAAATACATTTATTTACATAATATAATACTTACATAAATGTCACTGCAGATTAAGTATTTTCAAAAACAATATTCACAGTATAAGTATGAACTGTAGCTGAAATATAGCCATGGCATTGATGCATGAGGTCCACTACAGTGGACAGATGATTAATCAGATTTTTCTCCCAATCTAAAATCAAAACTTGGAAAATTGAACTGTGATATGATTAATTAGATATTGCTTGATGCTGCAATATGTTTTTATCTTCAAGAGTCTCCTAGGAAAGAAGGAATGGTTGGACTAGCCGAGGTGGGCTGGTCCAGGCGGTGTACTTCAGCGCTGATCCCTTAGATCTCACATCTCCGAAAACGTCAGATCATAATTTTAAATAGGCGCTATCTGTATAAACAAACAACATATTTGAGATTGAAAACAACTTCATTGTCGACTGAAAAACTCTTAAAACTACATTTCATACACAATAACAGTAGTATTTTTAAATTTCGCGGTGTTTCTCCTCTGCTATTGACGCAACTTGAGATTTTAAATATTAGATATAGAATATACACAATTTACATATACAATATGCAATTTAATTTAATCTTACCTTGCATATAGCAACGGGAGTTAGCATTATACATAAAGCTACCACATAATAACACTAAAACAGCTCACGTTAGCTACAAGTTATCGCGAGAACAGATTCAGATCAGGCATACTACTGGCATACTAATGGGGTCCTACGCCCGGACTATTCACACCGAGTAACCCGATTATTCACCACACCGGTACGGATCGAGTAGCGACAGGGAGTATTAGCCAACTAAAATCGATTGCAGTGATAGACAGTTCATGCAAGCACATTCGTCAAATTCAACTGCGCAAAGTTTTCATTCACATGTGCGCTTTCGCCACGCGCGCAGCACGCACACATAGTTAGCCGACCAGAATGTAAACAGACACATAAACGCGATGTTTTGACACATGGAGCTTGCATAAATGCACGGATTTACTCTAAAGCTTATATCTGAGCATCTGTATCATGGATCGTCGACTACAGAAGAGATTTGAAGGTTTTTTTGCAGAAAATGACGAAGAGCAACAGGAAGTAATAGGATATTCATTATAAGTATCAGTTTATTGCAATTTATTTGGGTAAAAACCACGTTTGTAATTACAAATGTTCTAAAACATTTATGTTTTTCTTTTTATATATTTTATACATTAGTTGGAAAATGAACACTTCTGCAATGTCTATACATGTAGTGAGAAATCACTGTTTTTGCTATTAGAATTGTTCAAAATAAAGATAATTTTGGTAAAATGTTCAAATGTTGTGCTGAAATCGTTTTTTTCTTGTGTGGTTTGAAGGGCATAACAGTTCTGAATTGTTGTTGCAGACCTATAGTGTTTACTCCCTATGTAAAGTGTTTGGGTGCCAGGTGTCCATTTGGAGTCTCCAAATTGCATTTTGGAAAGGACGCCTATACTTTTCTTGAATAAAAGCTTACAGAAACTACATTTTTGGGAGTATCATCCTCAAATTTGAATCTAAACATGGTCAGACATTCAATTTTATCTTTATGGTGTTTTCAGGCCCTTAACATAAAAGTCTGATCATTTTTTCCCTAAGTGAAGTTAATTAAAAGAAATCGTGAGTCACATTCATGTAAATTTTACCTTGTTTTACTCTGTTCCTATGCTACTTTGAGTAATAATGACTCTTGGGTAACAAAGTTTCAAGTGTCTAGTTTAAAAAAAGATCAGAGTTATGAATGTGGACCATAGGGTTTAAGAGCTACAGACATTTGTATTTGGGTATGTCATTTTCAGAAAATTCTCAAAAAATGGGGCGCTGGTTAAGAGGTTAAGGAAATTGGCTTGATTTATTGTTCTCCCTTAAAACCCTGACCTCATATGTGATAAGCCTGTTAACTTTGGCAAATCCTATGTTAAATCCAAACATACTGTTTTATGCGATTGCTGTGTTTCTGTTCCTGTAGATAACTACCAGACGACTCGCTTTATTACTGTCACCACTAAGCTGCCGAGACCCTGCAGCTGCCTGTCAATGGAAAGTTTGTCACTTCTCAGCAACAACTGCTCTATCGTTTTTATGACAGATTAGAGACCTTGCTATAAATAGACAGAGTTTCGACAAAAAGGAAAGTCTCAAATTACCCAGATCATCCAAAGTCGACATATCGTATTAGAGCTTAATATATACCAAACAAGAGGCCAAAAATAGATGCATCTCTGACACTTAACTGTATTACACCATATATAGAGCAGTGAATGTGATCAGGTTTATATTTTGTCCACTGAACATTTAACAATATTTTATGTTATGAAAGGCAGTGACGGATTGGTAGAAATGTTTAAATACCCATTTGTCTCTCTTTCTAAATTTAAACTTAAAGTTTAACTCATTTGTCATTAAATTGACATTGGTGATGAAATCTCAACTGCAGCCAGTATAAACCTTGTTATGTTTACATTCAGCATGTGCATCCACATACCTCACCACTGACTATGGATCACTGCTGTTTTGACAGTCTCTCTAAACAATTCCTCTAAAGCAGTAGGGTGACAATATGGCCACTTAAAATACAGTACAACTTAAAATTCTCTCTGTTGACCCATGTGAGCCTCACATTTTTACTCCTCAATTAAACCTGCTGCATAATATGGCCGTTTTACTGTCAGAACTCATTTTCATTTGGAGACAGATGACCAATATTATGCTTGGAGAAGGAAATGTCCAATAAATTTGTTCATTTCAATGTTTTTTCTAGCTGGCCAGACTGCCAAACTGTAACTATTTGTCTATCTGTCTGTTAAGGCATAGCCTGCAAGTAACCCTCAAAAATCAAGATTTTTGAGGTTTAGAACAAGATACCAGGCAGACAATTAAAATTGAACTTTATTAGGGAATTATTATATTGAACAAAACAAAACCTTAAAGTCGGCATGAAACGGAAGGAGCGATAATCATTTCTTCCCTCACATTACATTTTTACTCAATCATTTTGAGGAAATTTTATATTCATAAATGTAAGTGCCTTAAAACAAAGTCATTGTTTTGCTTTTCAATAATAATAATTTGGGATTTAATCTTTAAGAATGTTAAAATTGAAAATTGGAAGAATTGGTTTATTGAAGAAATTTAAACTATTAAAAGACCATGTATTATTTTTTTCATTCATTTTTATTTATTTCTGTTTCCTTTTTATACACTGTGATAAGTTGCTGCCTTAAATTTTTAAGTTCAATCAACTTGGATATTTAAGTAATTTAACTTAAATCACATTAAACTGACTCAAAAATGAGTTGAATCTTGTATAACTTATAAAAAAAAAGTTGAAAATTGCTTAACTTCTTTTGATGAGTTAAAGCAAAGTAAAAACATATGTTGCCATAAATTATTGATCATATATATATATATATATATATATATATTTTTTTTTTTTACAGTGTAGAGTTGTGCTCTGTTCTTTAGGATTTTTATGTGATTTTGTATTGCCTTATTCTAATTGTGTTTTCCTGCAATAAAAATGTATTATCTTCCCTATTGTGAAGTCGATATCGAAGTGGGCGGGACTTGATTTTGTCCATGGGTAATTGGTTGGATGGTTGTGGTTTGTTATTGCTGTGATGTCATGTGAGTGGCAGGTTGCCCCGCCCTCGCGCCATCAGAGAAGAAATGTTGCTGGAAGAGAGAGGGGAAGTTAACATGAATTTTAATAATTAATATATACTGATAAATCATTTATAATAAACACACTGCCATATTCTATTAAAACAAATGATTTCATGGTGACTTTAAGATAGGCACATTCTTTTTCTCTTTTTTTTTTCAAAGTCATTTGCACTTTGGGGAGATTCGAGGACGCTGCGGTGACATCAGTTTACGTGCACGGATTCACCAATTTCCCGCTTGTCTCGGCGTAAAGTTGCTCATGTAAATGTAGCCTGCGTTTTTGTAACGCAGCCATGACCCTGCAGTTCCCGCCCCTCGGTCCCAGCCTCAGCCTATTCGAGCGGATCAATGAGAGCTGAGCTCATATTTGAACTGCTGCACACAGACAAAAACTTACTATCGAAGACGGGGTAGAAAATAGAGACGAGGCAGTGGAGTATGGGTTGTCACTACAGCAAAAATTGTGGCCAGGTCCCCCGGAAAAGGGTAAGTTAATAGGTCGTTTTAGTATTTTCATAAAAAATGCCAGTTTACAACCCGCAGCAACGTTAGAGATGTTGCAAATACACCACGTGTAAATGTATGTATCATGGGAGCCAGTCTTGTTTTGTTCTCTCAAATCACTTGTTACTTCCTCTAATGCGTTAGTCGATGCGAAAGCTCTCACGTTAGTTTGTCGACTTGTGAAAGTTTTAATTAGACACAGATGACGGGTTCAGCACTGTTGTTTAAAATGTGCTTCTGACATCCGTTATGGCCAATTTAAGGTGTGCTATATACATTTAAAGTGTTATCACTTTGCTCAGTTTTAAATTCTTCCGCATTTCGGTCAATAACAAATCAGGATGTACGAATTTGTATTTTAAACATTTACCATTATCTGCAAATATTATTGATTTAATGGTGTTGATAAATATACTTCGGTAACTTACATAGCTTAGTCAATATTTTCTAAACGGTGTTTATATTTTCAAAAGAAATATGTTTTAAAAATACTACTTTTTAATTCCAAACTATAATTTTCAAGAATTTTAATGGGACATTTTGAAAACATGTCTGTCATAGAAAAGGCATAGTCAATTATTTGAATTAATTGCATTTTTGATGTTTCATTTCATTAGTACCTCTAGAACCTCATTCACGCTTTAAAAATGAGAGACAAATCCGTGCATTCCTGGGGCCTTTAAACATTCAGGGGAAATCTGGCTTTGATAGTGACAGGGTCAAGCTTTCATTAGCCCAGATTGCTGAAGGATTTAGATTCACTGGGCTCGAATGCGACAGACACAGGGTCCCAAATTTCTCACTGCAAGTTTTAATGTGACCTATAAACAGACAAGAGTTCCTTTGGTCCTGTTAATCACATAGCCATGTGTCAGTATACTTGACATGGACAACTGGAGAAGCGTGAAAAGTCTCTGAAGACTAAACACAGAAAGCTTTACACTCACTATTACAGCCTGTATTGGAGTGGAGTTGCATCAAAAGCACATAACCACATGACGACGGTGAAGTGTAATAAAGCCAAGGGTTCATTAAAGTTCCAGAACATTTGGTTCCCTGCCAAAGAGAGCCAGCAAATACATAACAGCGTTGTTGTGTGGATTACAGAATTATGAGATGGAAGCCGTTTCTTTTCTTGCTTTTTATTTCTGAATTCTCATTTAAACAGTCTCACATGGCAGAGAGAATCTCAGTAGAGATTAACCAGGATGATTTGACTCTTATTTGTTGTTCTTGACTGAGGGTGTTGGCTTAGACGAATAGCATGTTTGTATTATATGCAGAACAAAAAGGTGAAGTTTAGCTGCTGTTTTCAATATGACGAAAGAGAAAGGTGACCAGGGGCCATCAAGCCCCCAAAATCATGATAAAAATAGTTACAAGTCATACTGAAGTTATGTGACTTGCTTTGTACGAGTTAAGAGAGAAATTTAAGTCACCGATAGTCTTCGGCGCAGCTCTTGAATCTTATTTGTGTTTAAAATTTGTTTTGTGTGAAAAGCTCCAGAAACAGTGTTGAGAAACACTTCTCTAATCTGAAGTCAGGAGATTTTGCTCTCGGTGGAGAGACATTTTGCACTTGTGAGTGTTTTGAGGCTGTGTGTGTAGGCTATATCTCTGCAGACATTTGGCACGTAAGCTTCAAACCGTTAAATCACCTGTGAAATTCAAACATTCACACTGGTATGTAGAGCTGCACCTTTCTGGATGAATTGAGAATCAGATTTTTTTTTTTATTTAATTTTTTAACTGAGATCATGATTCTGAAAAGATAACCAAACAAAAAAAAAACGTAATTTTAATTAGTTTGAGGGAATGTTACAATGACTCACTCATAAAAAGACTTTGAATGAATCTCTTGAAATAATGATTTGATGACAAATACATTTTTTAACACTCATTTGTCGCTACCTACTGGCATAACGATGCAATTGATTTATTATAATCGCTGCCTTTAGACATCAGTGTTCATATCCGAAGTAAGCTCCCCCCCCCCCCCCCCCCCCAACACTTCTGTGATCTGAATTACTGGAACACAGAAATAATGATACTGTGTGTTTGAAAAGACTTTGTGAAGCTGTTTCACAGTATACACGAAAACTCCTTTCTCTGGGTCAGCGGCAGCACCAACGTAGATCTGCATGTTCGCTCATGTAGGCCTACTTGTCAAAGGATTAATAGACATGGCTGAATATAGCGATTGCGATCTTTTTATGATTAATTGTGCAGGAATATGGCACATTGATTCTTTACTCCCTATGTATGGATATATGAAAGCGTTCTTTCTGAATTGAGAGCATGCTAATAGTCAAGTCATCTTCATTTATAACACTTTTAACAATATAGATTGTTCCAAAGCGGCTTTACAGTGATAATAAACCAAACAATAAGTGTGTTAAAGTTTTCAGCTAAATGAAAGCCATTTAGAGAAGTTATATTGTGTTGTCTTCTACTTTAGCTCAGTATCCACTTTGGATTTACTCTAGTACCATTCAAACAAGTCTTGGGTCCGTAAGAGATATAATACAAAATAAATGATTCGGCAAGCCAAGTATGCATTAAATTGATCAAAAGTGACAGTAAAGACATTTTATAATACAGCTTTCTATTTCGAATAAATGCTTTTTATCATTAAGCATCACAACTGTTTTCAACATTTATAATAATAAGAAATGTTTCTTGAGCACTGAGCAGCATATGCGAATGATCTCTGATGAATCATGTGACACAAAGACTAAAGTAATCATGCTGAAAATTCAGCTTTGCATCACAGGAATAAATTATATTTTAATAGGCCCATATTAAAATTGTAATAATATACCATAATGTTACTGGTTTTACTGTATTTTTATATTTAAATTTTATATTTTAAATGTTATTTATACATTTTAAATTATTTTCAAATAAAGCATAAGAGACTTCTTTAGGGAAAAAAACATTCTTACCCACCCCAAACTTTTCAACGGTTGTAAATGTGTGGGATTTTAATTTTTTGTTTATCTGTTTTTGTTCTTATTAATATGATCTATATAGAATAGGCAGTGGCCTTGTATACATTTGTTAAAATGTTTATTATTTAGAAATGAAAAGTACGATTTCAGTTCCCCTACCTATTGAGAAATACAAGTCAAGTTTTCAAAGTGAGCTGCACTACTGCAAGTGATTTGTCGATGATGTCATGCTTGTGCAATCTTGAGTGCATATCTCACCGGTAATGTAAGACTGCCTTGGAACGCAACAAATATCAATTTATAAGACACTTGTGAAAGCGTTGCACATGTAGATCCAACTTGTCAGCTAGTTTTTGAATGATTAATCTCCTGTGTCTGCTGCCGTTAGCTGCAATGCAATAAATCAAACTTGTTTTTTTGTTGTTTTTTTTCTTCATTTAGAAAAAAAATAATAAAGCACAAGAAGGTGAGAAGCACATAAAGGACATCAAACTTCAAGATGCAAGTGGTAAGTGCTTTCTCCCATTCATGTCATGTGAACGTGCATGATGCATGTGCTATGGTTATTATCTATTAATGTGTGCTTTTCATGTGAATGATTCAGAGCCTTTTGAATGTCCCACGATCCCATTGTGAAGTGTGTTTTTCTTGGCAGAGCCAGGCTTTGGTAGTGCTGATGTTAGGTTGCAGGGACCTGTTAATATTCTTGCGTTGCTGGCCGTGGGCGATCCTGGCTTGCGCTCATGGATATATTGTTTCAGATGTACCGTTGAGCAAACAATGTAGTGTTCAATTGTTCTCCCCTAGTTACACACTCTTCTGAGGAGCAACGCGCTGGTTTGGAGAATCAGTTGGAGACTTATGAGTGGCAGCTAAAGATACTACATGCAGTTTTGACTGCTTCAGGAGACCAGGAGAGAGAGCAGCTCCTCAAGGACCGTCCTGGAGACATTTGCACTTTAGTCCACAGCATTACAGAGAAGGTAGGGTGTAAATAAAAGCTCTTCATATTGAAAGCCTTTTCTTTTTGTCTTGTGAATGGAACTCTCGTAGCAAGTTCATGCAGCTTCATGTAGCCATTCAAGAAAGACGACTATTCTGATCCCAGATTATGTCATCAGCTTATACATTATGGAGCTGTCAGCAGCAATAAACAAGACGTGCTTTTCCATTACAGCATAATTGGGATCATGGCTGTTTCTGCGCACTGTTGTTCTGATTGTCTGTACAGGGTTTGGGAATGTGTGCTGTGGTACATCTGTCCTTGTGCTAACCTCTGACCAACAAAGCTAAACCTGTTTGCAGGGAGGGATGTTATTCATTGGCCTGTAAAGAGGACTGGCTTGTGTGCTTAAACGCCGTAGAACACGGCTTGTTTTAACAGGGGAAAACAAAAGATGACGTTTTTTTTTTTTTTTTTTACCTTTCACCAAGAATTTATTTGTGGTCTAAAACCTTGTAGACTAATTTATCATATAAAACTATATATCACTGGTAAACTAGTTGAGTTAAACACGCATACACACACACACACGCATATTTACTTAGCTATTTGAATGGGGACATTACATAGATTTGTATTGTTTTTAATAAACAGCTTTTTATAAATACTATAAATCAAACCCATACCCTAACAGAAAACTCTCTGCATTTTTACAATTTAAAGTGCCTCTATTTTGCTATTTTAAAGGTTCCTAATTTTGTGTTGGAGGTCTCCTACAATAGGTTTACATGCATCCAAGGGCAAAAAACACTTTAATTTTCTCATAATATACATTGCAACAGTTCGATAAAAGATTCAGTCTCTCTAAACCCCTACTTTCCAGGAGTCGACTCTGCTCTGATTGGTCAGATGGCCCAGTTTGTTGTGATTGGTCTACCACTTACAGTGCATCGGAAAAGAATTGTCATATTTGAATTTCAGCTCTGGAGGCTCAACATTTGATGCAGAATGATGCGAACTGTAACGATGACGTTGGTTTTACGGTATCAATTTGAGTCTGAGTCCTCATCCATGCAAAATGGATTTGCTTTCACAGCGCAGAAAACAGCGGCTTCTTTACATGTCGACAACATGAACCAAACTCTTCCAGGCCTCAGCTACAGCTACAGTGTTTGAGGGTCAAAGTATATGTCGTTCATGGGCAGTCAATGAAGACCATAGGCTGGCATAATGCTAATTTCTTACAAACGTACATAGGTTTGTGCAGGAAGTAAGACTGGAATTACTGACGACTCATTTTAGGCAGTTCAGAATCAGATCTTTGTTTTGGGAGACAATAACTCCATTGAGACTTAATTTATCTGCATTTTGATCTTTGAAACTTTGCAGACCTTTTACATTCACAAACAGCTATTTAAACACTAAATGAAAGGTGATATCCGAATAAGGTTTTGTCCGATTTAGCTTAGTTTCTTTCGAGGTTTAAATAGCTAAGCTAATTAAATGTTTTATTAATGTGATTGTAACGTGTAGATTATACAATAATAGTTAAATGTTTAGTTTTTTATACAACATGTGAAATAAATCTAAATGTATGGCTCTGCTAACTGGCTGTTATCTAAAAAAAATTGTAAGGTACATCCTGGGATGCTTTTCAAAACCGAAAGAGTTCATGTATGCTTGTTCGCTACGTTTCCATCACTATGAATTACAGCTATCCATTTAGTTTTGTAAATAATTTTTTTACTGGGGCATTTTTAATAATAATTTTTTTTTTTTTTTTTTTTTTTACAAGGTAATAACATTTTTATGAGAAATCAGTCAAGTTTGTTCAAATGTTTGACTCTGATATTCAGATTTTGGTCAAATTTTTTTTTTTTTTTTTTTTTTTTTTTTTTACAAATTTGGTAAAGGTTATTAAGTAAGGGATAATGTACATCCAGCCGGTTGTTATCGCTGAATAAACCCATACAGGGTGATCAGGAAATATTGTTATTGTGTATAATTTTTTATTTATTGAAGTTTTCTTCTTCTGATTATTTTAATTTCTGCTACTCTGAATTTGCCATGAAAAAAGCCATTGCTGCTTAAATGGCATTAAATAGTAAATAAATAAATGCATGATGTCTTGTGTTAACAGGTAAAGACTGAGATAACCGCTGATCTAAATGATCTCCATGAAAAACAGATGAGGAGCACCTTAGAACGGCATCAGAGCACAACTGAAGGTTGGCTGCACATGGAATGCTAACAACAGATGTCATGTACTGACACAAATGCATACATGTGAAGTACCAAGTCACTTTGTCAAACACATCTAGGTAATTATAGCAATATTCATTAATTTGCTTTGCAGAGCTACAGCGATTACACAATGAAGAGAAGAACGTTTTAAATGAGTCGCATGCAGCAGCTGAGAATGCTTTGAAGGTAAAGCATGTCTATTTGTAACATCGCTTCTCTGATTTGCCTTAATTCATTTGATTGAGAACTGATCTAATATACTTCCCACGTCAAGCCAGTCATGCCAGACTTGACTTTGAAATGATTGGTCTGAACTTTCTATGAACTCAGGATCAGATTGAAGGGCTGACATCAGAGCTGAAGCTGTTCAACGAGTTAAAGCGCAGAGCGGAGGAGTCCACACTCAAGAGAGACCTTCAGAGAAATATTGAGGTTTGTTATGAGAATGGAGATCTATTGTCAAAGCATGCTTCAGATAGCTGTAGTATTCAGCTGCATCTGTCTTTTCATCCCAGACTCATGGCAGCCCTGGTGAATTCTGGGAGCAGGAGCAGGAGAGCCTGTTATTTGTCATTGAAATGAAGCTTGAGCGGTTGCAGGACCAGGGGAACAAGCTGCTGCAGATGGAAACACTGGTAACTTTTACTGATATCTAATTAGAGGGCAAGGCTGTAACCATCATGTAGACATAGACCAATTTAGACCAGATTAATATGCAGTTTTCAATAGCAGATTCTTTCATTTTTACATTTGACCCCCTATCTAAAAGTTACATCCATCTTGTTAAAGGTTTATACTCTCTCTCTGAGTAAGATAAATGATGTACAAAAATGAGAGCAGGGGCACATCATTTGTGTATTCATGTGGTCTATTTGAATGTGGCAAATTGACCTATTTGTTTGCAAATAGAAATGCAGAAGTTTCCAACTGAGGCCAAAACCCTGATACGCGTTTCACTAACTTTCTGCTGCTTGTTTTGTACTGATTGTCAGGTAGAGAAGAATCTCTCATTAGAGGATCAGCTCCTGCATGTTCTCCAGCAGAATGAGGACTACAGGGTCCGGATAGAAAACTACCAGAGCCTCATACAGTACGTTTACTTCTCTTTGCAAACTATTATTATAGACCGAGTATTTAAAGTGCCCCTGTTATGCTTTTTCAGATATTACATTTCCTGTGGTGTTTCTTTAGCTGGTTGTGATTGTAAAGGTCTTCAAAGTTTCAATGATCAAAATGTGCAGATAAAGGGAGTTATTGTCTCCCAAAAAAAACTAATCGATCCTGAACTGCCTGAAACGAGTCGTCAGTAATTCCACTCTCACTTCTGTAACATATCTATGTAGGTTTTTAATAAATTTGCATAAACAGCATCTGCTTTGACCCTCAAACACGGTATTGTAGCTGAGGCCCGGAAGAGTTTGGTTCAGTTTGTCGACATGTCGAGAAGATGATGATTATCACAACAGATTGAACCGTCTGACCAATCAGAGCGGAGTAGGCTCTCAGAAAGGAGGGGTTTAGAGAGACTGAATTCTTTATCGAACCGTTTCAGAGACTGAGAAGAGAGGTGATAGTGCAATGTATATTATGAGAAAATTAAAGTTTTTTTTTTTTAACTTGGGTGCATGTAAACCTATTGTAGGAGACCTCCAAAATTAAATTATCAACCTTTAAAATGGCATAATAGGAGCACCTTAAAATATTGAAACAAAGTTTTGTGCTTTTTTTTTTTCCATGTGGAAAAAGTTTGACAAGTTTTACTGTAAATATGTCATGTATTTTAAGTTGATCCTCTCAAAAACACTCTGCTTCTGTAGTGCTATCAAGGCAGTATTCTGCTTGTTGTCCGGCCCAACAATGTTTGGGGCAGGACTTTTTGTTTTTCCAGCCAATGACAATAATTTTAGCAATTCTGTTTGCTATTAAGTCGCACAAAAATTTAATGCATCATCTCAGCAAGTTTTTAAGGACTTTAAGAAGACTCCATATAGACGGAATGGACTCGCCATAATATATATATATATTTATATATTTTTGTGTGTGTGTGTAGTTTAACGTTCTAGTCTGTTATCCTCCAAATATGATAAAATGTGGTAATTCTGAGCTTTCCTGGTATAATTTTATTCTTGCATTGGATTGAACATTTGTTAGCTCAATTATTTGTATGTGGCGCCACCTGGCGTTGCTTTTATGAACATTTCTCTTGCTATTTACATGATTGGCCAATTATGAGTTTGAAATTTATTTTTAATAGTGTGTGTGTGGTTCAGGTATACTCAGGGCTGGACTGGGACAAAAAATCGGCCCGGGCATTTTGGCCCAGACTGGCCCACTATGTTAGCCTGGATGCCAGCCCGAACCCCGCCCACAACATTTTTTGATCGGGAAGTTCGGTCTGGACTCGCTCCATTGAGGAGTAATTATGATCGGTTCAGAAATCGTCGGGCCAATCAGATTGCCAGGGCGGGCTTTATACGATGATGGACAGATGATCTGCAGGGAAGTAATCCTCACGTTATCAAAGAGCGCTTAACTGGTTTCCCTCACAGATGACTGCCGCTGGAGAACTGAGATGTAGAGATTCCGCTATCGCGTCCGTTGTAAAAGAAATCGACAGCGCATTCATTTTAAAAGACGAACATAGAACTGCAATCAAGGCATTTGTCGATCGGAAAGATGTGTTTGCCGTCCTTCCCACGGGATTCGGCAAAAGTTTAATTTATCAGCTGGCTCCGATGGTAACTAAGAAGATGGGACGCAATGAAAACCCTGTGGTCGTTGTGGTTTCTCCTTTGGTCGCACTCATAGAGGACCAAGTAAAAGAAGCAACACTCGTTATTTTACTTCTTCCAGCGTGCGTGCATTTGAGTTCTGTAGTTGACAACTGTGCTATGCAAAGTAGTTGACTTACTGCGTTGCTCTCATTGGTTGTAGGTCTATCCAATTGAGTGCAGAGTTTTTTTTTTCCTGGTTCGGTTAAGACACGCCTCATAATCAAAGCCCTATGAAGCAGTATCAGACTCACATTCTGACTAGAATATGAGTATGACAAAGTCAGGCTACCACTATATAACACAACTGAACTTTGCACGCCCTTGAATATGTATACCAACTCCTATTAAAACCACTAATGCCATAAGTGAGGAGTGAGTAAGAGTTAACCGATGAAATAACTACTAAGTTGAACTATACTCCACAGTGATGAATCCTAAAGAAAGCTATAAGCTGGGATAGCAATACCGGTTTTTCCCACAGGATTTTGGGAAATCTGTGGTGAGTGCACCTCTGTCCCTCTAGGGGGGTTCAGGGGCATGCTCCCCCGTAAGAAAATGTGCTTTTTAATGTTAAATTCATCAATCTGGTGCACTTTGAGAGTTAAAAATTAAGAGCTCCAACCCATATTCAGTGTGCAAATTGAACAAAGAAAAACCCAAATCTCTTTTAGTTGTGATATAGTGTCTGTATACATTACACTACTACATAATAATAGTTATAATATTAATCCCATGGCAGTAATAGCCATATGTTGTAAAACAAATGCACTGAAAAATAAAAGCAACTTTCATAATTAGTTTCGTAGCCTACTAATTTCTATACAGAGATAAGCACATGATCTTTTATTTTGACGGAAACGGCATCGAGCTTTTATTTTGAAGAAAAACATGGTTTACAAACTCGTCTCATTATAATTCTAATAAAATGCGTCATCGTCAAATATGCAGATGTGTAAATAATGCGTAACTGGGTAGTGGGTTCCTACATAGCCTAAGTGTTGTGTCAGTAGCCTAGTTCTGCTTACCACAGTTCTCTGCACTCACTCTCCTTATCCTCCTCACTATCCTCATCAGACACTTGAAGGGCCTTTGAAGTTTATTTTTTCACGCTATTTCTCTGCACATTCCTTGCGTTTCTTCTCCATCACTCTGACTATTTTGACAGATACACACTGCTCGCTCACTCAGAGCTCAAAGGGGGAGGAATTTAAAGATGTGATTGGACCAGCCCAGTGTCAATCAAGAAAATAACCAATGGGCTGCTGATCTACGCGTTTCATGCGCCGGTCTGTGAGAAAAAGAAAAACCTACGCTGACTTTTGTCCAATGCATTACACCGGCACAAATATCCCAGAGCCGCCAATTAAACAAAACTAAACGCAATGGGCCGCCGATGTACGAGTTTTATGGGCCGTTCAGACAAAAAAATAAAAAATTAAGTATGAGATGTATCGGCCCACAAAGCACGTCGACCCGCCCGGTATGCCCGATGGCCAGTCCAGCCCTGGGTATACTCCATGTTGTGGGGACATTTTTTTGCTCCCCATGAGGAAAACTCATATCATTTTTTTTTTTATACATTTCTGTAGTTTGTACAGTATAAAAATCATTGTGTCTATGGAAACTCAACACATGTGTGATGTATAGACTCCAAAAACCTTGTTGTCCTCTTTCAGACGACTGTCCAAGGAGCAGAATGAGCTGCAGGAGGCGCTAGAGAAACGTTCTCTGCAGAACCAGAAGCTCAGCCAGGAGAAAGAAGAGCTGCTCTTTAAGCTCCTGCACCGCAGAGACTCGTGCTCCTCCTTTCACCTTCCTTCAGTCATACCCACTGAGGTGTCTCCCAGCTGACTCAACATTAAGCCTCGTCACTGTATCCTCACCCTGCCTGGCCGAGGTGCCTTAGCAGCGCTTTTGTTTTTTTAAATGCCAGTTTATTATGGAGTGCTGTGAACATGCAGTGCTGAAATGGACTTGCACTGCATTTATCATTTTAACTGGCAAAACAAATATTTTTGTACATTTTATTTGAAGATGATGCTTATCAGGAATTTTTTTTTTTTTTTGGCTGCATTTATTTGAAATGGCTGTGGATATATGCAGTAGTTATTCAAGTCTTTTTTTTTTTTGTTATTGTACACAGTGTATTAGTATTTTTTTTATTATTTTTTATTTTGTGTATTAGTATTTTTCTTTCTTTCCAGGAAACAGCAGTCAAGCAGGTATTGTGATAAAAAAAAAAACGATTATCTTCTTGCCTTAAGACATTATTGGAGCCCAAGCACTTGTACATGTAGCATGAATATTTGGTATCTTTTCAGATGCACTTGCACTTTTATCTCAGTGTTTTTATTCGTTAGAGAGATAATGGGCTTTTGGTGTTTACCCGTATGCTTTATCCTACACTTTGCCACAGTATCTTCGTTTTAAGTCCTGCTTTTCAGTAGTAGGTAAAGTTCTTGTGTCCTATTGGGTAAAATCTAGTCGTTTTAGCTCGGGCAAACACAATGTTTACTCCTACAACCAGTACACATGTATTTCAAGAAGAGAATAGCCGTTTTCTACTATGATACTTTGTCAAAGCCAACTTTAAAAGAATAATCTGAAACATTCTGAACAGAAACATTTGACTGAGCTTCTTAAAATTATTTCATACTTTAAAAGCATTTTACGCACTGATGGCCTTCTTTTTGCAGTGATTGATTTGCCATTTTAAAAGCGTAAGTGTTAACGGGTTGCCTTTGTGCCCATATCTCTCCCCCCTTTTTCTTTAAGCTATTGTGATTCATGCAGCATGATCTGTCATATATACTGTATGTTTACGTCCAAATCAGTGCCTTTGGTGTTTCCTGTAAAAAATCAAGCAATAAAAGCTGCATCAAAGGAATAGTATTTGAAGTTCTGCACATTTCTTCCAGAACAAAATATTTAAACAACACAGATTACTATTAAAAAATGACAACACAATTATTCAGCATTATTATGGTTGTGGGAGATGGCATGTTTTTCTTTTTTTCTTTTTCTTTTTTTTTTGTGAATGATTATCATAATATTATTTGGTCACCTTATATTCTCCACATTAATGCAATTTATGAACTTCAAATCATAGTTTGATGGGGCTAAAATGTTAATACACAGACTTTGTCCCTAGGGGGCGCAATGACTCAAGATAAAAACAGGCGTGAGTATTTTGTTGTTGTTCAGACAAGTTTTCAAGTTGTCTGGGTGTTTCACCATGGCCTGTCGAAATATTTTGGCAGGATAGTTAAAAATTAGTCATTCGTCAGTCAGTAATTCTCTGAAATTACTGGATTTCTGTTTTGTCATGAGTTTGTGTGTGCCTCATTCACGCATTATGATATTAGAACAGTCTGGTAGACGTAGGCCTACAGACAAGCCTTTTTAATCCACATAGATTAAATAATATATTAAAACTTTAAGATTTCCTTTAGCTTTCTGGCCCACAACTGGCATTTCCCCTTATGGATAAGGTCACTCACCTCACAACTTTCACTGTTGCATGTAATGAGACACTGATTGGTGGGTGTTTCTAGTGACAAATAAGAGCATAAAGCCTGGCTGACTGACAGATTGAGACGTTTATCCTGTGGTGCCCCCATATTACACTACACCAGCACTTAACATGCAGAAGAGCCTGGCTCTTTTTGCTGGTTGTGCGGATGTTAGGTTCACTGGTTCCCTGACTGTTTGACATGTTTGGACAATACCTGCCTAGCCACTAAGATAAGCACAGGTCACCCCCTGTAGTGATGTCAGGAGGTTCCCAGAGCATTTAACAGCCACCTGGGAGAATCTCAAGTGTTTTCATTCCAGCCAAAGTGAACATAGCAACATCTGACTTTATAGTGTAAATAAAACAACTACTTCATTCGATTTTTTATACAAGAAAAAGCAACAATATTACGCATTTTCATATGTTTGCAATGAAAATTATTGGGTAGGACTTAGTTGGTGAATGTGCATTTGCTCATTAGAACATCAGGCCATGACTCTAAATAGCCTAATTTAAAACAGCCTACATAAGATATCTGACAAAAAAATAACAGACACATTTATTAATACAAACGAGGTTGAGAGTAATATACGGTCTGACGTCAGAAAACTGCAGTTTTGTGCGATTTTTGATCACGAAAAATCAAACATGGCGCACCCTGACGAGGTCTGCTATTTGAAAGCATTTAGTCAAATACATTAATTACAGCCTTAAAATTTGCCTTCTAATAGGCTATTATAGGATACAAAAATAACCCTTCTGTTTTTTTTGTTTTTTTTTTTAGCTATTTGCCTAGTGGGTTAATAATAACTTTATTTGCATCCTATTGGGATAGCTGTGTATCTTTTTAAAGGATATGGGCCTAAGGGAAAATTCGGCAACACTTTGTAGGCTATAACCAAAGTCATTATGCTTTTTGTAATGTGTAGCCTATATAGCATAGTTAGTGACCTCCTTATATAGCCTAGGCCTAATGCTTAGTTGTAGTTTATGTGTTATTTGATGTGCGTGTTTTCATCTGGAAGAGGTATTTTGAAGAGTGTCTGCTCATCTGCAACGCATCTGTTTCCTGTCATATGTCAAATAGACATTTAGAAAATGTTTATGATTTAGAAAAAAAGTGACTTTTTAAAGACGTTTGTCACTGCAGACAGCAGATTCTTTCCAGACAAAGCGCTCTTTAAAAGAAATATTGGAGACGCTACGTGTTTTAACCGTTTAAAAATCCTATAAAATCTAATCATTTGTAATCTTAAAGCATGTTTTTATCTTGGTTGTTTGCATAATATTGCCTAAATTATTTTTTTATTTTCATACTGATATTTAAAAATTGTCGCCTGCTTTATTAAAACAGTAGCCTATAAGAAAACTGTATTTTTGAAAGAGAAAATCAGTAATTCAATCCCTTGCTCCACTGAGTTGGCGGGAAGGCGCGCGAGTTTACTCACCTGAGTTTACGCGCTGTCTCTTTATGACATCATCACCAGCCACACGAATGTAATACAATACCTGTCTTTCATTCCATTATCTGTTAATTGCCCAGCCTAAGCGTCCCCATATGCATTAACAGTGCTCAAAAAATAATGTGTTGCTATTAACTTACATTTGCTCCCATGTCGTCTGCGAAATGCGCGCACGTTCGAGTGGTTTATTTATTACAATTTCCGTATAGGCTACAGCAAAGATAACCTTTAAATTGTCAAGGGTTGGAGGCAGACACGAATTTTCTCAAATAAGATGATTGCTATTTGGGGCTGCTGAGTTGTTCCTTATCACTTTGACTTAGAACAAAAAAAAAGGTGAAAATTGCACCCCGGGGAAAACAGCTTTGATTAAAAGGTGTGGGGCTGGTTATCACCCCACTTTTTACACACCATAATCAGCTTGATTTCCTTAACTCCTGTTTCAGTACAGCAGCATGATGTTTTAAACACGATATGGGTAGACTGATCGGATTTAGACCAGTGGATCATTTCACAAACAAAAGGCTACGATTTTTGTAATTCTTTAGACACAGGCTTCATGCGCCTTGCACGTTATAGCCTAACGTGCATTGGGATTCGCTTTCACGTCAAGTAAAATAAAATTAATACATTTTAATAAATTGTGTTTTGATCGATGTCAATCCACTTTACACAATGTTTACTTGTGTTTTACATGAATGGGACAACTCATTTGTTTGTCTAGATTTATTTTTCACAAATGCACAATCTACACAAAAATACATTTTCAATAATGAAAATGTTTTCAATTTCTGAAAATTAATTTTGATATTTAGTAATCGTCTTGTGTGGCCTTGATATGAAACGAAAAAAAGTGTCTCATTAACAGGATGAAATAAATAAAAGAAAAATAAATGTTTGCATAATCACTATGGCAAGTTCTTTATAACTGATTTTAAATCAGTTTTTCTGTAGATGTTTTTTTTAAACAAGCAGTTTTGTTTTAAAAAATATTGTTCTTGACTCATATTATTGACTCATTGTTTAAAAATACGTTGCATATATATATATATATATATATATATATATATATATATATATATTAATAGCATAGGCCTACATTTAGAATACTTGCATGTTTATAGGGCAAGTAAAGCATGTCAGTACGTCTTTATGGTTACACCGCTTGACATATTAGCGTCATATTCATTAAATGCTTTTTTTGTAAAAAAAAAAAAAAAAAAAAAAAAGACTTTTAAAAATTAAACAAACATGATTACAAATATGAACGTATGTTTTAAACTATTACAACAATACGATGTTTTTGTTTTTGTTTTGTTTTTATCTTTATTTGTCGTTGATCCATGTTTCACAGTAACAGGACCATTAATCTTCATAATTCCTTCACATTTATAGGACTAAAAAATCATGCATAACCTCCCCGAAAAGACAGTTGTTTCTCGCATCAACCGGAATAGGGCCTACTGCTAAATGTTCAAGAAATTCCGTTACTCCCTTGTACTCCTGGTTTCACAGACGAGGCTTAAAGGGATAGTTCACCCAAAAACGAAAATTCTGGAAAACAATTAGCCTACAAAAGGTTCCATCAACTATTACCGACATTCTTCAAAATATCTTCTTTTGTGTTCAGCAGAAGAAAGAAATGTATACTTTGCAACAACTTGACTGTGAGTAAATGATGACAGATTTTTTTTATTTTTGGGTGAACTATCCCTTTAAGCTAGTCCCAGACTAAAATCCATTTTGAACTGTTTTTACTAAAAGTAGCCTATAACTTGCACTGACATCTTAAAATATGTCAGAGCCAATGTTTTGTCTCAAGATGCACACCAGTAATGTTTTCTTCCAAGTCATGTTTATAAAAGCTACCTAAATATCCTAATTGAATTAAGGCCAAATCCTGGCTTAATCTAAGCCCTGTCTGTGAAAGCAGGCCATAGACTTCAGAAATGGAAATTGTGTACGTCTCGTGCTCATGAGTGTAACGCCATCAGTCACCACTAGAGCGCTCTGTGCTGCAGTCATGTGACCCTCCCAGCGCTGGCTCCATTCCTCTAGTTCAGAATCAGATCAGATAAGATACAACATGTTTGCAC